GTAAGGGTTAGAACTGCTAATTGTGAAAAGAAATATTATAATTATTGTAAGAAGTTTGGGCATATTATTAAGGAATGTTGGAAACATCCTAATAATTTATAATCAAACTCTAAAATGTAGTCATTATTGATTAGGTTGTACTTGTAGGTATAGCAATTGTGGATAAACTTGAGGTTACTCCTGAATTGGTTCAACATATGGTAATTAAAGTTGTATTGGCTTTAAGGCTCTAAGGTACAAACATGCTATCCTCTTCGCTATGGCTTGTGGATTATGATGCTTCTAATCATGTGATTGGTGCTTCACATTTTCTTCATAATGTTAGGTTGTATCATTGATCATTATTTATTCATATTGTTAATGGTAGTTAATTACCTATTAAAGTTATTAGGGTTATTAATCATTTAGCGAAAGATATCCTCATATATGCTAACCTCTCTATTAATCTAATCTTAATCGAATAATTGATGGATAATAATTATGATGCTTGATTTTTTCATAATGGTCATATTATGCAGGATCAAGTGATAAGAAAAATACTCCTACAGTTAGACAACTATTTCCCTTCCATCATTCTATCGGTGATTTTATTTTATTATTTTGTACTACTGTAAATCAAAATAATGTTATTTGGCATAAACAATTGGGTTATCCAAATTCTACTATATTATCTCATGTAATAAATTATGTCTTATTGGAAGATCAATTTTCTTCTCATTCTTCATTTGGATACTCAATGTGCAAAATCGAAAAAGCAAAAGCCTTTCTTTTCCATCACATGGTAGTCATGCTGAAATGTGTTTTGATTTAATTCATAATGTTGCTTGGTGTTTCACTCCGATTATATCTCATGCAAAATATAAATATTCATTAGCATTAATTGATGATCACATGAAGTATTGATATGATACTACCAGGAGTTAGCGAGAAATTAATAAGAGCAATTGTTAAAAGCTTTCCAATATAAAGTTATCGTTCACAACAAAGAAAGATTTTGTAAATTCGTAGTTTTCAACTTGCTTAGGCAAAGAAATGCACTTTAGATTAACCAAGACATTTCGATCTAACTTCAAAGACGAGTAAGTTTTATAAGCACAATAACAAAAATCCACAATTTAATAATGAGAGGTTTCACCTTGACGACCTCCTCACTCAATCACTCGTGGGGTTAGCGGAAGAAGATGTTCCACACTAGAGAAGATATCACCACTAGGAAGCAGGAGCCCCAGAACTTCGTTGATGGAAAGGTAGTCAGCGACGGATGGATTAGTGGACGTCCCATGATCACCCACGATCCGATGGGGAGGTGTTCCTCAACTGACGGTGCCAATGCGAAAATGATGCGGTCTATGTAGTCTTCCACGGAGTCGTTAATGTCCAAATTAAAATCGAAGAAGAGAGATTGGAGGATGTCGGTTCGGCCTTGAGAATCCTCTACGAATCTGTGATCAACGGCGGGGTCGTCCATGCACTAACAAAGGGGGAGAAGGGTTGAGTTCTTCTCTTCTCAAGAGATAAAGCTCATGAGAAAAGCAAACTCAAGAGAGAAGGGGGAGGAGTGGCGGTCGGCTAAGGAGGAGGGGAAGTTGTTGGGCTAAGTTAGGGTTAGGGTGGCGTAGGGGATGAATTAAAAAGTCTGAAATTCTATTTCAAATTTCAAAAGGGTGTAGGGAAATAATTTGAAACTTAAAAGGTTTTCCAATTGAAGCCTATAGGGAGGCCAGCGGCATGTGGGGAGAGGGGGAGGGGAATTGGGAGGGAAAGCCAAGTTTCCAAGTTTACAAACTCAAATTAGGGAAGAATAAAATAAATCAATTCTAACTTAATTTTAGGAACTTTCCTAATTAAAAACGACTAATTTAGGAACGTATTTGAAATTTGAATTTGAATTTCAAATTGGATTAAAATCTCTCCCAAATTAAGTGGGCTAATTAAGGCAATAGTTAATGATGATTAAAATCATTATCAAGAGGGCAATGGTGAGGTGGCCTGTAGTGGAGCAAGGGGATGGGGGGAATTGGTGGTATGAAAGTTGATCAATTGGTGGGGGAGGGGCCGACGGGCTAGAGGGTGGGCGTGGGTGGCCGACGGGTGGTGGGTGGGGTGGAGTTGGCTGACGGCTTGGAGGCTTTAAGCCGGCGGCCAAGGACTTGGGCTAGGTAAATTAGATCCACGAATTGAACACTTTCCTAATATGGATTATGTCAGTTTGGGAAATAATTCAAAATTTGAATTTGAAATCAGATTTTGCATTGGAGTTCCCTTCTATGCTCCACTTTTGGAAAGAGGCAAGATAATCAATTTTGGATCCATGGGAGGGGAAGGCCGGCGGTTAGGGTTTGGGGTTTGGGGTTTGGGTGTGGGTTAAATGGAAGGGATCTTGTTGAGGTTAACCGGCGGCTTGAGGACTTGAAATGGCCGGCGGTTGTTTGGGAAAGAAGAGGTGGCTGGATGTAGGGGAAAGGAATAAACGATAAGAAAATACTATGAGTACTAACCGCGAGTCCCGGAATCCACCGGCGACTGACGGGTGTTGCAAGGCTGCCAAGGCCCTCTCATAGAGTTTATCATCTCAATAACTCATAAAGAGATCAGGCAAGAAAATTTGAAATTTTTCATTCATAATCATCATCATTTTACAATGGAAGAGGCCACAATATATAGGCCTAGAAAATAAAATAACAATGACTCAAATGCCCCTTGGGCTACAACTTAAGCAAACTCAAAAGAAAATGTACAATCGTAAATAGCAAATAAATAAACTACAATACATAAATGCATCAAAATTAAAGACTGTGAATCGTAGCCATCAATCTACGATTCCTACGCTAATAAACTCGTCAATAATGTATGTCGATGTCCTCATCAAGTATACTTGGGATTGACTTTTTGTATTAGAAAAACAAAGTATTCTCTATCTTTCAAAATTTTGTTGCTTATGTTGGAACTCAGTTTTCATCCCGCACTAAAGTACTGAGGTCCGCTATGAATGAATATATGTTATGTAAATTTTATGATGAATTTCTTAAAAACAAGGAAATTATTTCAAAGTAATCATGTTCTTATGCAACTCAATAAAATGATTTGTTGAACTTATCATCTCTTAGATATTGTTCGGACCTTATTATTGAAATCTTAAATTCCAACTAATTTTTGAACATGTAGTACTAAAACTTTAATTTTTTACTATCTTGTTTTCAAGAGATGTTACCCCCACCATCTTTCTAGTATAATAATGTTTCACTCTAACTTTTCTAGTTTATGAACATCAATTTTGATTTTCTCATATCGACCATGCTCGGTTGGGTCATCAATTAGTTTTTTTAATACTCAACACTTTAAGTCATCTAGTATAGCAAATCTTTTATGTTATTCTCTCATTCTATATTATTCCCTAGACAATTCTTTATTCAACCATCCAGCTTTATCTTTTAATTTTTTTGCCCTCATTAATATCTCTAGTTTTATATAATGTACCCAAGATACTAGAGCATCTCATACATGTATCACTTAATCTTCGAGAAAAGGATCAAAATGGTCTCTTGACTATTTATAAAGGAACAAAATTGTCCCCAACTATATTAAAAGACTATTTTGAATCCTCAAGTTTTTAAAAAGAAATCAACATAGTTTCATGGTAGGACTGTTTTAGTTCTTCTTTAAGAAGTTGAGAGATCAAAATGATTATTTAATATAGTTGGAGATATTTTTGGTCATTCGGAAATAGTCAATGATCCATTTCTCCTTCATCTTTGTATGCATTTAGTAATAATTTTCAATTAATATTTTTAAAAGTTATATATCATATGTTTAGTCAATATAGTTGGAGAAATTTCTTTGTTTGAATTCAGCTCATATTCGAAATATTTCATTATATTAACGTTGTAGTTTGATTCATATTATTCGTAACGAGCATGTTTGGGTTGAATTGACTTGAATTGGCGCCTTGTGATTTATAAATAACCGTATTAAATAAGAGTTTAATTTTAAGAGCTTTTTAAATGTAGGATTTGGTGGAGATTTATATAGAAGTTTATAAACTAGGATTTTAATTTTACAAACTTTTAAAATGTAAGATTTGCCTATTAAATATATTTTAGAAAATTTATTAAAGCTTTTTTCGATGTTTATTCTAGCTGCAATCCCTCAGGCAAGAACATCTATCTTTTAGTGTAGATGTTCATTCTATATGAAGAGTAACATTTTGCTTGAAATTGACGTGGGACGTTTTACTTCCAACTTTTTGTTTATAGCCAAAAATTATAAAGTGCAGCCACAACACAATTCTTGGCACTAAAAAGAGTTGCAATTGGCGGGAATTTTGTTAGCTAGTGCAAATGGTAAATGAATGAAGACGAGTGGTCATAAGCTTACTAGTGCAATTGCTTGAACTTGTCCGGAATGGTCGGGAAATCATGTTTTTTTGAGTGTTCGTTTGTCCAAATTAAGTGAACTCAATCTCTATGCAGTTTCTTGTGAATGCTCTAAGATTTGTGCTTGAATAAAAAATGTACTATCAAATTTAGGATTTTATCAAGCCAACAATCATGATTATTACCTTTGAACAAGGAATAATAATAGAAGATTTGGAGTCGAAATGCACTCCTTCCCATCACATTTTATATTCCCTTCTCTTTATTTCTTTTTCTTTTCCTTTTCTCTTTTATTTTTTCATTTTCCTTTTGTTTTTTTTTTAATCTTACTTTGCAGGCTTCATTATTGTGTTATATAGCTTCTGGAATACCTTACTATTGGTAATAGTTATTACTTGCTCTCTCTCTAGCTATATTATGATGTTTATTAATGTTATCCTCTTCATTTTGAATGTTTACATGTATGGCTGTTAATTTTGACAACCTTCTAGTTTGTTTCATATGATTCTTTCGTTAAATTCTATTCAGTCTTCATGGATCTGCAATGGAACATGTACCTGAGAGTTGGGGCATGCCCACTTCAATTACAATCCCAATTTATTCGCTTTTAAATTTTGTTTACTGTAGGCAAGACTAGTCTAATGGGCTCCAACTCGGTTGATTTACTTCAGAGTTCTACTGGAGTTCACTTTTCCGGTCTTCACCTCAATGAGCTGGAAAGAAGAGATTTGCAAATGGAGAAAACAACTTCATCTACTGAAAATGCTTACAGGCAACCATTTATAATAGGTTACTGTTCGTTGAATGAACATTATTTGGCTGAAATTTTATATTTCTTTCAGTTTGTCTGGGTTTTTAAAGGGCCACACTGTACTGATCTTGAATGGAAACTTTGGATGTCTATTGCATCATAACTCCAGTTATATTTTTCAGCAATTAGAATCTGACTTGACATGGTTAGTTTAATGATTGATAGGGTTGGACACACTGAGGCTGCTTAAATGCATAATCAAGTTAAGTTTCATCCTGACTGTAAAAGTAGTTAATAACGTTGGCTGTGTGAGAACGAATGGTATTAGTTACATGATGGATTTATCTTGCTAAGGTGCTGTTAAATTGGTCATGACAACAACAACAACATCAAGCCTTGATCCCACTACATGGGGTCGGTTACATGAATCCGTTTTCTCCATTGGGTCTGGTTAAGAGTCAAATTCTCAATTAAATCTAATAAATAAAGACCTTTTTTAATATTTTCTAACCAAGTCTTTTTAGTTCTACCTCCACCTTTCATAGGTTAAATCTAACACATCTATTTTATGTGACCAAACCATCTAAGGTGACTCTCTTTAAGGTTACAAGAAGGCATGATTGTTTTTGGGGCTTTTGTATAGGATTTAGTTAACTTTTAAAATAAAATATATATAAATAGAGTGAGGTGTATGCCTCATGCCAGCAAGGCGAGGCGCACCTCAAGGCAGGCCTCATCCAAGATGAGGCGTAAGCCTCATAAAAAAAGCTCGAGGCATAAGCCTTGAGGCGTTTTTTACTAAAATTGCGCTGAGGCGGGCCTGAAGGCGAGCCTCATATTGCGCAATTTTAAACAATGACCATGGAACATTCTCTTGCAAATCTCTAGTAAGAGCATTCATGACTAAAGCAAAAAAGATATGGGCTTAAGACTGATCCTTGATGTAATCCAATTGAAATTGTAAAATACTTGGTCAAACCAACTTGTGTTTGAACACATGTAACAGCTCTAGTATACATATCCCTAATGACTTAAACACAAGCATTATTAATCCCTTTCTGTTTTAGAACTAGCACTTATCTTGGAACTTTATCATATGTTTTCTCTAAATCAATAAATATCATATAAAGATCTTCCCTTTTCTCTCTATACTTCTCCATCAAACCTCTCAATAAATATATGATTTCCATAATAGACATACCCGACATGAATCCAAATTGATTTTCAGAAACTTTAGTATCACATTGTTACCTATGCTCCATAAGTCTCTCCCATAGTTTTAAAGTATGACACATCAACTTAATTTCTCTATAATTTACACAATCTTGTGCATCACCTTTATTCTTAAAGATATGAATTAACACACTCATTCCCCACACATCTGACATCATTTTTAGTCTTCAAAATGATATTAAAAAGTTTAGTAAGCCAAGAAATTCTTTCATCTCCTAAGCATTTTCACTTCTATTGGAATATCATTAGGTCTAACAGTTTTTTCACACTTCATTTTCTTTAAAGCCTCTCTAATTTCATTTTTAGTAATACGTTGATAAAAAGAAAAATCTTTACTTTCATTTAGAGTGTTAAGGTCACTAAAGTGAATCGTATTTTCACAAACTTCATTGAAAAACTTAGCAAAATATCTCATCCACTTTTGTTGAATATCCCCTTCCGAAAAAAGTATTTTTTGATCTTCATCCTTAATGCACTTCACTTAAACTAAATTCTTACTACTCCTATCTCTTTGTTTGACTAGCTTATATATATATATATCTTTCGCCCTCTTAGTATCTAAATTATTATATAAATCATTAAAAGCTAAAGTTTTTGCTTCACAGAATGCTTTTTTAGACTCCTTACGTCCAATTTTATATCTTTCCCAATTATTAGAATTTTTACATATAAACTAATTTTTATAACAAAGATTCTTATTTTTGATTTTTTATTACATATTTTGATTATACCACCTGTCACAAACCGGCCCGATCAGCTCGTATAAGTGAGACGAGAACGGAGGTCGGACGATAGACTAAACTATCAAATTTTTAAAACTATCATCTTAACATTTAAAAGAGCCACCAAAACAATAAAATTTAAAACACAAACATAACCTCAAACAGATTCATATAATTATCTTTCTTTTGGAGCGCCTCTTCTACTGTAAACATTTTCACCCCTTCTATTCATTTTGATTAATTTAAATTTACCTAAAAAAATATTAAAAACTAACAGTAAGCTGATGCTTAGTAAGTAAAAACACGATTCTAAACTACAGTAATCAAGTCAAAATGAACAATATGCTAGATGTCACATTTCATTTGAACATAACATAAATTGATTTCTTACAAATATGTCATTAAACATATCATATCATAAAACCATATCTTTCATTTTTATTTCCATATTCATATCCATATTCTTAACTTTCTCATTTATTATATATTATAACTGTCATAGGAGCCACCGTCTAGTACCATAAAAGTACTCCTTTGCTATTTCCTTTTTCATATCATTTTCCATTTTAACGTGCACGAGTACAGCGTCCTCAGCTAGTACCATAAGGAGGTGAGCTCCATCAATTCAGCATGCACATACAAGCATTCAATATAACAATCATATCCTATTCACATAATCTCATTTCTATAACATATAAATTTTATCATATAATGTCATAAAATATAACAAAAAAATTTGCATGATCAATCATTGGACAAGAGTAAAGATTTTATAAACATGTTTGGTCTTTCAAAACATATAATTTGAAAGAAACAAAAATCATTACAGTAAATAAATAACCATGTATACTTACAGAAATTAGGAAATGATTCTCTATGCTAGTCCTCCTTCCTTTGAGAACACCACAAATAACACCTTTAAGAATATATTTTAATATTCAACGGCTAAAGTTAATCATCTCAAATTTAATGAAACTACTCCTATAAAACTTCTAAAATTTCTCTCTCCCACTCCCTCTCTCCAAATGATCATATAAAGCAAAATATATATTCTAAAAATTCATAATTTTGTACAATTACATAATTTAGCCAAATTAACCCTTTATTCTAATCCTAATTTAATTTAATTTAATTTCTATTTTGGATTTAAATTAATTAGAAATTAGGAAAATAATATTTTGAGAAAAATCTTAAAATTTCACCGTTAGAATAATCCTACAACCCTTAATAAGATTTCATAAAAATGAACATTTGGGAAAAACACTAATTTTAGAAACCCTAAAAATTCTAGGAGAAAAGCATATTCTCATGTATAAAATCGTTTCCTAGATCTTCCCTCTTAATTTCTTAAAGAAATTTTAATGATTCCACAAAACCCTAAATTCTTCATTTCAAAAATCCAAGGGAAAGATAGAGATTTTTAGGTTTAGAAACATACCTTAGTGCTCCTTAGGCTTTCCCCTACAATTTCCCTCACGAACGACCGCCGGAAACTGCCTTAGCAGCTGCCGTCGACTTGCTCCCGCCGCCCTCCTTCCGTCCGTCTCCCTTTCTCTTCGTTCGGCCTAGCGGGAATGAGAAGGGACCGAATCCCTTCGGTCCCTTAAGAGTCTTGGACGGTTAAGGATAAGTCCAAAGACCAAATTGCCCTTCAATGCTTCACATTCGCTTTAATATTAATAGGGGTAATTTAGGTATATTCAAACTTCTAATATTTTTTTCTATAAAAATAAACAAAATTAAATTTAAGTTATATATACCAAATTTCTTAGAATTTTGCCTAGAATTTTATAAAATTATTTTCGTCAAATTTTGACGACTTTGGAAAATTCAGTTAAATCTCGTTGCGGCGCATCGAAAAGCGTGCGAGATCTAAAATTGGCATTTTTCGGATTTTACAATTCTCCCCTCCTAATAAAAATTTCATCCTCAAAATTTACATACAACTTTTAATTACAAAATAAACATCTTCTATTTCCATTAACATAAACTCAACATTGGAACAAAACAAACTAAACATCCGATATATCATAACAAAATAATTTGATGAATCCAAAATATCTGACATAACATAATAATTTAAACTACTAAATCCAAAACATCAGATTTAACATTACCAGTCACTAAGAAATAAACAATAAAACCATCTCAATTATCCTTGTCAATATCTACGGATTCATTGGGCTCCTTTTGAGTCAAAGTGTAAACTCGCGATATGGCATTCTTCCTGGATTAATTTTGCACTGAACCTGCAACTGATTGTTCCATCGTCTTGGGTTTTTCATAATTCCTCTATGAAGTTGCTTCACTTGATCTCATTTCTCCTGAAGTCTTCTGAACAAATGCAGGATAATATTTTGCTATGTGTTCAGGATGATGACACCAATAGCAAGTGTTTGAACCAATCAGACATTCACCCTTATGTAATTTGCTACACTTAACACAATGTTTCGTGACTTTACTTACAGTTAAACCACTGAATCCACTAGAATTAAACTTGGGCTTCTTCCCATTTGATCACTCAGTCTGATTGCTTTGTATATCCTCTTTAAAACTCTTCCTTTTATGTTGGTCCATTCTCTTCTGAGTATCTTGCAAATCTGATTCAATCCTTCGGGCCCTCTCTACCAGAGTAGAATAATCCTCAATATCAAAAGGAATCAAAGGTTGTCTAATGATATCCTTCAAACCAGATAAGAAATGATGACATTTCTCTTATGCATTGGGTATCATATGTGAGGCATATTTGGAAAGTCTAGTTAACTCGGCCTCATACTGAGTAATAGTTTTATCACCTTGTACCAATCTGCTGAATTTATCTTGCATCTGTTTTCTAGCTGACATGGGTACATATCAGTCTCAGAACACTTTTAGAAACTCTCTCCATGAGACTTGACTGCTGGGTCTCCCTCCAAAAGTTTCTTATAGCTGGCTTGCCACCACCTTTCTGCCTCACCATCAAAGGCAAAAACATCAAGAGTTTTTATCTTCAGGGCAGGACATACCCTCCAGGATCTTCTGCTTCTATTAGTTCACTACTTGAAAATATCGGAGGCTTCATATCTTGGAACAACTTTAAATTT